TTTATTTGTGGAGGATGGAAATCCAGGAAGCCACTGCTTGAAGTTATCCCACAAATCTGTTTTTCCAGGTGCAGTTACAAATCCCCTCCACACCTCAGCTGATGAACCAAGAGACAGGTCTATGCCTGAGGGTGTGGTTTGTAACATTTGTCTGAACATTGCTTTTGGAGTTGCACAGCGTTGAACAAAACCATTAGGAAAGGTAATGTCAACATGGCATGGGGACATCATCATTGTCACATTTAGGGAACACACTATGTTACGAGCCAAAAAATTTACAGGACATGAGGGGGAAAGCAAGAAAGAATGATAAAAGGACAGATTATTCCATTTACAAGGAACTTTTTCGGAAAGCAGCCACTCCTCTGTGTGTCCCGAGAAGCCAACAACAGGTACAGTATGCCTTGAAATGGGGAGTGGCATGCTAAGTGTGGAATACCAGGCTCCTGTGTCAACCATACACGTGATCTTGACCATTGATGGTTACCTTGACTAGTGGTTCACACAGTGAGTCACCTGTTACTGGTTCTGGGCAGCCCTAATGTTGAGGCAACTGGTGTGAGCCAGGTGCCTGATGTTGGGCTGATGGTGGGAACTGCTGAACATATCCATCCTGTGGAGGTGGATAGACCTGATACTGATATCGTGATATACCCTGCGACTGCTGATATGAAAAGGGACATCTACGCAACCAATGTCCTCTTTTGTTACAAATCCAGCATCTATCATCTCTTGGCGGACCTCTCCTAGGAGTCCAAGGTCCTTGACCTCTTTCCCGTGGTCTGCCACGGTACTGAGGTCCACAGTACATGGGAGCAGAATCCCACTCATAAGGTGGTGCGGTCAGCTGTGGTGCAAAGAGTTGCTGCCGTATATATAGCTGTGCAGCATTCTGCACAGACATTTGATTAGCTGTAGCCTTACTTTGATTAACTTTGTCTTGCATTTCCTTCAACTGCACTTTAGCTAACTGTGCCAGCAAGGAAGAAAGCTCATTTGCATTCTTTTCTTGTGGTTCCAGCTCATTGTCAATACACTGAGTGACATAAGCTGACCACTGCTCAAAGGTAAATGTGTTGAGTCACACTACCTGTCTCAGAAGATGCTGTATGGATGCTGGGAGGGAAGCCTCCACAGCACTGCAAAACAGCACCCCCATGGTGTCACTGATGGCTGGGTCATCACCAGTGTGGTTCTCCCCGAGTTCACACACTCTGAACAAATACTGACTACCTCTCTCACTCTCTTGAGGTGGAATTCTACACAGCTCAACAGAATGCACCTGTAGTGGGAATTTCTGGCTCATCATCAGCCAAAACCGATGAATTTCAGTATAGAGAGAAGCATTATCATCATCCTTAGTAGTGTTTTCCATTAATTCTACCTCCTGTAGCATGCTCATGTATTGAAGGCTAAAAGGAGTGTAGGCTTGTGTTATCTCTTCACAAAGTGAGGTGGACTAAAACAATGGCAGCTGGTGTGAGGGAATGTCAAAACAATCATGGATGCTCCCTTGTCCTCTTTGCATACGTTGTGATATAAAATCATGCACTGTGCCATCCCAGCTGGAATCACTCTTGTGAGACATTGCTGGTACTGAGGGCGTCACAACCATGCTTATGTTCTTCCTCTGCGAAAGAGGCAGAGGTGCATGCGCCAACAACTGGAGTTATGACCCGGTCTACACAGCCAGAATTTAAATCATTTGGATAAGTCTGTGCTCTAATTCTGTCAGTTTTACCTCCTGGAAATGGGGCTGTGTGTAGAATCCCTCCCTGTACAAACAACCACCAGGGGCGCTATGTTTTGCACTTTGTGGCATCTGTCTAGATAAGCCACTGTTCTGTATTGGCTTCCGCTCTCCTCGTGGAGTTTGTGGGGAAGACGACTGTGTGTGTATCTGAACTGTACTTTACAATCTCTGGTAAGATGTGCAGCTGGCACTGGAATGTCTGTGTCTGATTGTATAACAGTGCCACTTGGAGAATTGACTTCAACTGTCCCATGTGACTTGCTTGAACTGGCTGAAAGAGACTGAAAACACTTGAAACTTCTTAAAAAACATGTATAACCAGAAAGAAAACTCTCAGCTTTTTTTCTGGCTTATGTTCTGTTCCTTGTCAAAAAGGTACAGGTCTTAACCTCCTGTCTAGCTTTCACTGCAGCTTGCTTCAAAAACAGCCCTATAGCATCCCCTTGTGGGGGAGGACTGTCACTGTCCCCAAGCATACCCTTTTTCTGCATCTGTAGGACCCAGGAAATAAACCGATCTCTTGCCTTGTCCTGCTCATCTTTAGAAAGCGTATTTAACCATTTAGACAAAAACTTGTAGAGTACTGACCCCAAAGAATAAGGCTTGGTCTTTTCCCACTCTTGTACAACATTTGCAGACATTATTAAAAATTTATGTACACGTGACTGGCGTTTCAAGTGAAATGATCTCTGCCCAGAACTGCGATCCGAAATGGGAAGCTTCTACATCACAACTTTTTCTGATGCGCCCGATCGCTGGGGGTTCACCCAATCAACAGTTCTGTTTTAATTCCACTGAATATGCCATCACCGTAAATGCTATAATAGTTTTCCCATAGACTATGCCCAGCCCTCAAAGACAGTTCTGCCTGAGGCACACTGTGTCACATCGAATTCTCTCCGTAGCACTTGCTGCTATTAAAAAATGCATGACAGTGTTCAACAGCCTTCGTGCAGCAAACCACCCACACAATGATCAAGGAAAATAAAAAATATTTCCCTGTGCCCTCATTAATCATTTAACAGTTAGCAGTGACCGTCTTATAAATATTTAGGCATTCAGGAATGTGCTCCTCTTGGAGAAGGCTCGGCCTCTGACTTCTGCCTTCAGCAAGCCAGTCTTACCATTGGAGCAAAAAATCATAATAATTTTGAAGACTGTCAAAATTTGTGGTTATCCACTTATTAATGTGAATTTTACATCTCTGACAGTCATCAATTTGTAACTAGGGCACTTATTTCTATCCCTCAAATGAAACTATGTGCTTGTAACTTTAAGACGTGGCATAAACAACACAGCACATTTCAAAATAAAAGTGTTATTTTATCCTTACTCTACTCATTCAATTTTAGACCGAGAATTCACAGTCCACACAGATCAACTAAATTTGGCAAAGTACAATGTGCAGGATTTATGTGTAAATAGGTTTCCTGCTCACCTGTTTAATGTCGGCCAATGTTGATCTGTGCAGTCCCTTCACTCACGACATGGAATCCAATTCCGATGGTCATGGCACCAAGTTGTTATACCCCAGTTCTTTTATTGAACAGATCTGAATGAAGACGGAGTCCGAATTGTTTCATTTTAGTGCTGGTTTATTTAAAAAAGACCACAAATAAAAGTTATAGAAGCCCAAACCCGGGTGGTTCCCTCCCTCAGACAAGCTGCTGGAGAAGAGAGACCCCGGAAACACAGAGCCTATACATTTATAAGGTTTTGGGCTAACCCCTTACACAAAAAGATATAAAAACATCAGGAGTTGGAGACAGTCCGGCGTCTCCTTCTCATATTTTATGCTCTGCATGCATCGAGCACAAGTCATAACAAAATGAAGAACTCCATGTGTGTGTGTATGTTGTATGCATGATGTGTAACCAAAATATTCATTCAGACATAATTCTTACACAAGATTAATACAAAAATAACTGGTGTCAAGGTACCCTTCTCAGAATTAACATTATCTTCTAGACAGGCCTCAAAGTTGCTGCCTCCAGTGTAACTCACAATAGGCCTAAACATGTAATGAGCAGGAGTTAGAAAGCTTCAGAACCTGCTGAAAAACATTCGGTTTTTAAGATTTCTTCAGGAGACTATTTATGTACAGTAACTCTGACAGCACATCCAACAGAAGGCTAGGTAGCAAAATGAACTGATGATAGCTGATTCAGCATACTTAGTGTTCCAGAATGTAAATAAATAGGCCTTTTACCTAGACTAAAAACGGTGCCATTGTAAAATACTATATCCATGGCAACATTGTGTAGCCTATAGCCTACTTCCTGTTTTTTTGTTGCAGTTTCTATCTGTTCACATGAGTAATGACTTTTAACATTTAACATTTATTGCTTTGTCATAAATATGAGATCCAGAGATCAGGATCTTATAATAGTCTATTATTGTTGCTATTTAAGAGGATAGAGGCATTATAGGCTGCCTGATTAATTGTCTAGACCCAATATCCTAGATCCTATAGACTATTAGGCTGTCTGTGTAATGAATATGAGCTTAAATATCAAATTTTTACAATGTCACATTAAATGGTAAAATTCAGTCATGTGCACAGATAATATTTGTACAAGAAACAAGTATAATGCTGCCATAGATATGAGTTACTGTGGGCTACCAATTTATCCTATATTTGTTTACATTTTGGATCACTAAGGATGTCCCCAGCTCATCCTGACTCCCGGATACTTGTTCATGTGGGTGATCTCATCACCCACATTGGTTTCACCTGCTTCTCATTACTCACACCTGCTTACAACAGCATTTAGGTATCTTCCCCACACCAAGAAGCTGCCAGATCATTCTAAATTCTTGTGCAGACTTTCCAGCATTTTACCTGTTCCTGATTCCAGCTCTGACCCCAGATTACTTTTTCACCACTGAATTTCGCATAGCGCCCTCAATTCCAACCGTGTTTTTTGTTTATCAACCTATGGACTTCCCTTTTTGACCATGCTTTTGTGGATCCCTCAGCTGTGTAAGTTTGCTGGTTCTGACCCTGGACTGTGCTACCGACCTGAGAGTGTGTTTCATGTTTAAGTAGTTTTCTGTATCATTTTGTTTGTTACCAGTGCTCATATTAAAGAGACAGTTTCCGCCTTTACTCGTCTGGCTCTATAATTGAGTTCACCATTGACAGTTAGGCAAACAATCTACAAATGGAGACACTTTGGGACTGTGGCTACTCTACCAAGAAGTGGGCGCACAGTCAAAATGACCCCAAGAGCACAACGAAGACGCATCACTGAGGTAAAGAAACAACCACAAGTGACAGCCAAAGATTTGAAGACATCATTGGATTATGACATCTATGTTCATGAG